TTTATATTATCCTATTTATTGATTGATTTATCTATTTATCTATTTATTTATGTGATGTGAAAATGCTGTGTGTGTGTGTGGTGTGTGTGTGTGTGTGTGTGTGTGTGTGGGTGTGGGTGTGTGAGCGTTTGTGTGTAGTGTACATAAAGACTTGTGTGACTGTAAATAAAACGATGGGGCTCAAACACACAGTCTATTCAGGGCTTGAAGTTTTAAACACTGGACTACAACACCCACAACCCCCCTCATGTGGACTACAACATCCACAATCCTCAACGTGTGGACTACAACACCCACAATTCTTCTTTTTTGGACTGCAGAATGGAAAGCTTATTATATGGACTACAACACCCACAATCCCCCTCATGTTGGCTACAAAATTTACATCAACCATCATGTGGACTACAACAAGAAATGTCTTCATATACACTACAACACCCATGATTCTCTTCAAATGGACTACAAAATTCACCACCCTTATTAGGACTACATAACCCTAAAATTCTCTTCATGTGGACTACCACTTCCATAATTCCCATTATCTGGGCTGCATTACCCACAATCCTCTTCTCATGAAAAACCAAATGCGAATCAGACTTGGACTACAATACCCAACTTCCCTACTGTCTGGACTACAACAAATAATTCTCGCTTGGACTAAAACACCCACAATTCCCTGCATGTGGATTACAAACTTAATATTTCCCTCAAGTTTTGAACAAAACCTCAAACTTTCTCTACCTGAACTACATTATCCTAAAACCTCTTCATCTGGACTACAACCCCCACAGTTCTGTTTGGACTACTACACCCACAATCCTCTTCTGTCTCAGTGGACAGTTTTTAGTGATTACTGTTGTTCTGGTTGCTCAGCAACAACAAGGATGTTAAAGTGAAACTGAACACTTTCATTTTATAGCTAAAGGCTATGGACTACATTACCCACAGTTCCATGTTCCAGTGATTGAATAACACAACCTAAAGAACAGAAGGACTACATTACCCACTATTCCCAGCTGCAGACCATCTGGCTACAACCCCCTGCTGTGTGTCTATGATACCCAGAATCCTCCTGTATCTTAGACTACAGTACCCATGATTCTTTGCTCCTGATCAGGACCAGAGATGACATTGAAACACTGGGGGTGGAGCTAAGGTGCTATGCTCATAAAACACACCTGGGGAGGGGCATCATCACCTGTAGCCACGCCTCCTCACATGTCCTGCCTACTTTTTACCCATGAAGGCTTTTGGGAGAGCAGCCGAAACATTTCCCGGAGAAGGGAAATGGTATCCTCTTCCTGTGACATCATCTGTGACATCATCTACAGTATGAGGGGGAAAACCACGGCAACTAGGACTGATGGTGGATCCAACATGGCTGCTGCTCTTTAACTGGTTTCAGTGTTTTTTAGACTGAATATCAGGGTCATGTGAATAATTATAATAATTATTATAATAAAATAATCATATTTATTGATGATGTAATATCATCACAAACACACACAAACACACACACAGGTAAACCTTTCGTCGTAATTTTCTCTTTGAGCACTGACAAAAACACTTTGTAAAACCTATAAATCATATCTTAATATATTTATTATCCTGTGACACACACACACACACACACAGACACAAAGTTCAGAGGAGGCTTGTTGTATAATGAAATAATTAGTTATAAATTCAATGATTGAAATATTGAATAAATTCCTTATAAAAGCTGAATGTGTTGATTTTAAACTTCTCTTGTCTCTTTGTACATCATTTGGACAAGAGGGATCCCCTCGACCTCTTCCAGTGTCACCGTCTCATCCAAACGGCGCCAGAGTATTTGAACGACTCGGACAGTGTTCTCTCTCTGGGGTAAAAATATCTGTTTTTCATGTTTCTGTTCTATTAGACAGAACGAACAATTAACGTTACAGAAAAGATATTTTAAAACAACACTGAAGTATGAAAAGTGTCGCCACCCCTCAGTATCTTTATAGCGTCTGTGGTCTGCAGATGTGTCTGCTCTATAAAACGTTAAGTCTCAGACGGGTGGGTGGCGGTGACTGGGTTATTAAAAACACCCTCCCTCCACCTTGCTGTCTAACCGCAGCGACCACAGAGCGAGTTCTGTGATGTCACGCTGCGTCCTGCCTGTCCTGCGATGTGATTGGTGGCTTCATGAGGTCAGAAGGGTTTAAATAAGAGCCGTCCTTTGAATCTGTTACTACGGTGACCACATTGTCACAGTGGTTGGATCGACCACGGCAGCAGAACCCGGTGAGTACTCAAACTTTTAGAACTGTTTCAGGGAGTTTATGTTCTAGCCTAAATGTAAAAGTACTGAAATACAAATACTCCTGCAGATACACTGACCGAACATTAACTGACCTTCTGACTGCATGAGCAGGGCTGGAATTGCAGGTAAAATTGAATAAAATACAGCTGTGTGTTTCAGTGTCAGGGTTCGATCAGCACGTAAAGATCATTGTGCGTTCTAAGAGTAGAATAATAATAATGTGGTTACTTGAATGAATGAATGAATGAATTAGCTCCGAAAACACCAATTTACACTTTTCAGGAGTTCCACTTCAGTGTCTCTCTGTGTGTAAGAAACCCAGTTCAGGTTAAAGATTCAGTGAAGACATTTTCATTATCTTTCTTTGTAATTGATACCGTCTTGGGCTAAGAGTGCTTTACTTCCTGTTTGGAACATCTGGTAGATTGAAGGTTAGAACATTAGCTTAACAACAGAATAAATTACTAACAGATTGAGAAGCAAATAAAAACAGCTCAAAGGAACGGCAACAAAGGTAAATGTGTGATGTCATAAGGTCAATGTGTGATGTCATAGGGTGGATATTACTTTGGACTCGTCAGCGGAGACATTCAAAGAAGCAGAGGTCTCGTTACATGGTGCGCCCAAAGGGACAATATAATTCAGACCTTAATGTCATCGCTATTGATGTTTTAACGCTGACATCCCTAAAATGAAAATAATATATATCATGAAAAATAACATGTTCACGTATGAATATAAACACAGTGTTTCTAAAAACGTCCTCTCTCTCCTCTTCCTCAGTGATGATGAAGGTCTCTCTGATCGTCTTGTGTTTACTGAGCCTCAGTCTGAGCATGCCAGTAAGTATGGCAACCCACTGACCAGCCAACAAATCAATCAATCAATCAATCAATCAATCAATCAATCAATCAATCAATCAATCAATCAATCAATCAATCAACCAACCAACCAACCAACCAACTAACCAACCGACCAACTAACTGACCAACCAACTAACTGACCAACCAACTAACTGACCAACTAACTAACTGACCAACCAACTAACCAACCAACTAACTGACCAACCAACTAACTGACCAACCAACTAACCAACCAACTAACTAACTAACTAACCAACCAACTAACCAACCAACTAACCGACCAACCAACTAACCAACCAACTAACCAACCAACTAACCGACCAACCAACTAACCAACCAAATAACCGACCAACCATCTAACAGACCAACCAACTAACCAACCATCTAACCAACCAACCAACCAACCAACCAACTAACCGTCACGACTGTCACGACCCTTATACTCCCAAATGTCCATTAGATTATAGGATGGATGTTAAAGTAAGCGTCCACTAGAGGGCGTGGTCCCTTCCACAGCTGGACAAACCTTTACTTCCTGTCCGCTGTACGCCTAGCTGTTCTTTAGAAACCAACTCGTACAATCTTTACTCAGAATCCCACATTTGAAAAAGAACTCTTCTTCGTTGTGTTTGGTTGGTTTGGCTTGAACTGTTGGCTATACTGCTCAACACTGCCCCCACGATTTCAGGTGGTACTACAACGTCCGCTCATTATCAGTTATCTTCCAACCAACTAACCAACCAACCAACTGACCAACCAACCAACTGACCAACCAACTGACCAACCAACTAACCAACCAACCAACCGACCAACCAACCAACCAACTAACCGACCAACCAACCGACCGACCAACCGACCGACCAACCGACTAACTAACTGACCAACCAACTAACCAACCAACTAACCAACCAACCAACCAACTAACCAACCAACTAACCGACCAACCAACCGACCGACCGACCAACCGACCAACCAACTGACCAACCAACTAACCAACCAACCAACTAACCAACAAACCAACAAACCGACCGACGAGCCAACCGACCAACCGACCGACGAACCAACAAACCAACTAACCAACCAACCAACCAACCGACCAACCAACCGACCGACCAACCGACTAACTAACTGACCAACCTACTAACTGACCAACCTACTAACTGACCAACCAACTAACCAACCAACCGACCGACCAACCGACTAACTAACTGACCAACCAACTAACTGACCAACCAACTAACCAACCAACTAACCGACCAACCAACCGACCGACCAACCGACCAACCAACTGACCAACCAACTAACCAACCAACCAACAAACCGACCGACGAACCAACCGACCGACGAGCCAACCGACCAACCGACCAACCGACCAACCAACCAACAAACCAACCAACAAACCGACCGACGAACCAACCGACCGACGAGCCAACCGACCAACCAACCAACCAACCAACCAACCGACCAACCAACTGACCAACCAACCAACCAACCAACTGACCAACCAACCAACCAACCAACCAACCAACCAACTGACCAACCAACCAACCAACCAACCGACCAACCAACTGACCAACCAACCAACCAACCAACCGACCAACCGACCAACCAACTGACCAACCAACCAACCAACCAACCAACTGACCAACCAACTAACCAACCAATCAATCAATCAACCGATCAATTTATATTATTTGTGAGATTCTGTGCACTTTTCTTTAGTCAAAAGGATCATCTATGCTAGGAAAATGAATTGGTAATTTTTCATCGATATAACTGTCACGACCCTTATACTCCCAAATGTCCATTAGATTATAGGATGGATGTCAAAGTAAGCGTCCACTAGAGGGCGTGGTCCCTTCCACAGCTGCTGTCCAGCTGACCTTTACTTCCTGTCCGCTGTACAATCTTTACTCAGAATCCCACATTTCACTAAGAACTCTTCTTCGTTGTGTTTGGTTGGTTTGGCTTGAACTGTTGGCTATACTGCTCAACACTGCCCCCACGATTTCAGGTGGTACTACAATGTCCGCTCATCATCAGTTAGCTTCCAGTAGTTTGTCTTTTTGTTCTTGTGTGCATGAATGTCATTTGTAGCTTTCATCAGCATGTTAGCATATTTTATATACAAAACATTTTAAGATTGTTTTCAGAACTTTTTAGTAACTTCAGTGAGTTTTAAGTCAGTTTCAGCATTTAGCATACTGTTTCCAGGTAACCTGCTCAGTTTGATGTGTTTACTGTCAACAACCAGACTTCCTGTTTCAGGTGTGGTTTGTTTGTTTGTTTCAGATCCACAGAAGAAGAGTGACGAGGTCAGACAGCTCAGAAGGAGAGGAGGAGGTCAGTGCGACCATGAGAGAGCTTTTTTTCCACCCAGACGATTAAAACTACCACCAGCTGAGGCTGATGGGTAATGTAATGCTGACGACTGTCATCTTAACGATACCTGAAACTGTTCATGTTTTGTCACAGAGCGACTCCAACGAAACCAGCAATGAAGAGGAGGACGAAGAAGGAGGGACGGAAAGAGGAGACGCTTATAAAGAGGAAGAACAAAAAAATAATGAAGGAAAAAAAGATCAAGAGCAGAGAGAAGGAAGAGGAGACATAGAGGAAGACAAACTTGAGAAAAGAGAGGAGGAGGAGGAAGGAGAGAAAGGAGAGAAAGAAGGAGGAGGAGAGATGGAAAGAGGAGAAGATGAGAATGAGGAAGAGGACAGAAAGAAAAATAGGGACGGACAGAGAGAAGGAGATAGAGAGGAGGAGGGAGATAGAGAGGAGGAAGAAGAGGAGAAGGGAGATAGAGAGGAAGAGGGAGATAGCGACAAGGAGGGGGATAAAGAGGAAGAAGAGGATAAGGGAGATAGAGAGGAGGAAGAAGAGGGAGAGGGAGATAGCGACAAGGAGGGGGATAGACAAGCAGAGGAAGGGGGAGGAGGACAAGAGAAGAGGGATAATGACAAAGATGAAGAGGAAAAAGGGGAAGAAGAAGATGAGGAAGGAGAGAATGATGAAGAACAAGATGAGGAAGAAGGAGAGGAGGATGGTGAGAAAGGTGGTGAGCAGGAGGAGGAGGAGGCAGAAAGAGAAAGGAGTGAGGAGGAGGAGGGAGGAGGAGGTGAAAAAGATGAAGAAGAGGATGGAAATGGAAAGAAAAATAGCAGGGGTAAGGAAGAGGATGATGATGAGACAGGAGAAGAAGGGGGAAGAAGTGAGACAGGAAGAGAGACAGGAGGAGGTGAGACAGGAGGAGATGAGTCGGGAGGACAGACAGACGGAGAGACAGGAGATGTGGGAAGAGGTGAGACAGGAGGAGATGAGTCGGGAGGACAGACAGGAGGAGATGTGGGAAGAGGTGAGACAGAAGAAGGGATAGGAGGTGAGACAGGAAGTGAGACAGGAGGAGTTGAGTCAGGAGGAGAGACAGGAGGTGAGACAACAGGAGTTGAGACAGGAGGAGTTGAGACAGGGGGTGAGACAGGAGGATTTGAGACAGGAGGAGAGACAGGAGGAGAAACAGGAGGAGGAGAGACAGGAGGAGGAGAGACAGGAGGAGTTGAGACAGGAGGAGAGACAGGAGGTGAGACAGGAGGAGAGACAGGAAGTGAGACAGGAGGAGAGAGACAGGAGGAGGAGAGACAGGAGGAGAGACAGGAAGTGAGACAGGAGGAGGAGAGACAGGAGGAGGAGAGACAGGAGGAGAGACAGGAGGTGAGACAGGAGGAGAGACAGGAGGAAATGGAACAGCGTCTCCATCTTTTAATGAACGGGAGAAAGTCCTTGTTTAGGTGAGAAACCTAAGTTCAGACTGAGGTCACAGCGCCCCCTTGTGGACACTGGTAGCACTGACATGCATTTTCTGTCTTTCAGGTAACATGATTCCTCAGGGCCAATCACAGGACAGGAAAATCTTCAGTGGATGAGGCGTGTCATTGGTCGATCCTTTTGTTTCTGTTCAAGTTTAAAATGTAATTATGCTTATGCCTGTTTGTAGTTCCTTCAGAATAAAAGCCCTTTTGTCCTTTAATTTATAGCAGTCATTTCTTCCACCACATGTCACGGTCCTCCTCAGTTTGCTCAGGCGCATGACGACGAGTTCAGGTGTGTCCAGGTGAAAAACGGAGCTGTTTACTGTGTGCAGTGCTGTTTGATTAATTATTAAATGAAAGTATAGTGAATTAAACGCAGACTGTGAACACAACGCAGAGGGAACACCCTCCATTAAAAATCTGTCTGGCAGCTCGTTAAGGAGATTTAACGAGCTGCTGATGATGTCACTGATGCTGTCACTCTATGTTCGACTGAAGCACAGAGAAAAAAACATAACAATCAGCTGAATCAGCATTATTATTGTTTTTATTATTAGAAATGGTGTACTGTGTCATTGTGTGTACGTGTGTGTGTTGTGGATGCTCCACACGTCTCCGTTCAGGGCGTTGGCGGCGCCCTGCAGTGTCCACACGAAGAAGGCGAGCTGTCGTCTGAAGCGCTTCTCGTCAAAGCGTTCAGGGTCAGAGGTCAGCAGGGCCAGGTGTTCGACGAGCGCGCTCAGGGTGTGATCACCACGGCCATGGATCACGTGACGGAAGGGCGTCTCCACCGCCGAGACGTACTGAGACAGGAAGTAGTATTCCACCTAATGACAGAAACAGGAAATTACCTGTTTTATTCTGATGACTGACAGGTAGAGTCAGACATAAAAATACACTCATACAAGTCATCGCTGAGACACAGCTCAACACACACACACACACACACACACACATGATACAGATGTTGTAGCTGTGTTTGTACCCTCATGATGCAGGTGTTGTGGCTGTGTTTATACCCTCATGATGCAGGTGTTGTGGCTGTGTTTATACCCTCATGATGCAGGTGTTGTGGCTGTGTTTGTACCCTCATGATGCAGGTGTTGTAGCTGTGTTTGTACCCTCATGATACAGGTGTTGTGGCTGTGTTTATACCCTCATGATGCAGGTGTTGTAGCTGTGTTTATACCCTCATGATGCAGGTGTTGTAGCAGTGTTTATACCCTCATGATGCAGGTGTTGTAGCAGTGTTTGTACCCTCATGATGCGGGTGTTGTAGCAGTGTTTTACCCTTATGATGGTGTTGTAGCTGTGTTTGTACCCTCATGATACAGGTGTTGTAGCAGTGTTTGTACCCTCAAGATACAGGTGTTGGAGCTGTGTTTGTACCCTCATGATGCGGGTGTTGTAGCAGTGTTTGTACCCTCATGATGCGGGTGTTGTAGCTGTGTTTGTACCCTCATGTTGTGGGTGTTGTAGCTGTGTTTGTACCCTCATAATGCGGGTGTTGTAGCTGTGTTTGTACCCTCATGATGCGGGTGTTGTAGCAGTGTTTGTACCCTCATGATGCAGGTGTTGTAGCTGTGTTTGTACCTTCATGATACAGGTGTTGTAGCTGTGTTTGTACCCTCATGATACAGGTGTTGTAGCTGTGTTTGTGCCCTCATGATGCGGGTGTTGTAGCTGTGTTTATACCCTCATGATGCAGGTGTTGTAGCAGTGTTTGTACCCTCATGATGAAGGTGTTGTAGCTGTGTTTGTACCCTCATGATGCAGGTGTTGTAGCTGTGTTTATACTCTCATGGTGCAGGTGTTGTAGCTGTGTTTATACCCTCATGATACAGGTGTTGTAGCTGTGTTTGTACCCTCATGATGTGGGTGTTGTAGCTGTGTTTGCACCCTCATGATGTGGGTGTTGTAGCTGTGTTTGTATCCTCATGATACAGGTGTTGTAGCTGTGTTTGTACCCTCATAATGCGGGTGTTGTAGCAGTGTTTATACCCTCATGATGCGGGTGTTGTAGCAGTGTTTATACCCTCATGATGCGGGTGTTGTAGCTGTGTTTATACCCTCATGATGCGGGTGTTGTAGCAGTGTTTATACCCTCATAATGCGGATGTTGTAGCAGTGTTTGTACCCTCATAATGCGGGTGTTGTAGCAGTGTTTGTACCCTCATAATGTGGGTGTTGTAGCTGTGTTTATACCCTCATGATGCAGGTGTTGTAGCAGTGTTTATACCCTCATAATGTGGGTGTTGTAGCTGTGTTTATACCCTCATGATGCGGGTGTTGTAGCAGTGTTTTTACCCTTATGATGGTGTTGTAGCTGTGTTTGTACCCTCATGATACGGGTGTTGTAGCAGTGTTTGTACCCTCAAGATACAGGTGTTGTAGCTGTGTTTGTACCCTCATGATGCGGGTGTTGTAGCAGTGTTTGTACCCTCATGATGCGGGTGTTGTAGCTGTGTTTGTACCCTCATGGTGCGGGTGTTGTAGCTGTGTTTGTACCCTCATGATACGGGTGTTGTAGCTGTGTTTGTACCCTCATGATGTGGGTGTTGTAGCTGTGTTTGTACCCTCATGATACAGATGTTGTAGCTGTGTTTGTACCCTCATAATGCGGGTGTTGTAGCTGTGTTTGTACCCTGATGATGCAGGTGTTGTAGCAGTGTTTGTACCCTCATGATGAAGGTGTTGTAGCTGTGTTTGTACCCTCATGATACGGGTGTTGTAGCTGTGTTCGTACCCTCATGATGGTGTTGTAGCAGTGTTTGTACCCTCATGATACAGGTGTTGTAGCTGTGTTTGTACCCTCATGATGCGGGTGTTGTAGCTGTGTTTGTACCCTCATGATGCGGGTGTTGTAGCTGTGTTTGTACCCTCATGATGCGGGTGTTGTAGCAGTGTTTGTACCCTCATGATACGGGTGTTGTAGCTGTGTTTGTACCCTCATGATACAGGTGTTGTAGCAGTGTTTGTACCCTCATGATGGTGTTGTAGCTGTGTTTGTACCCTCATAATACGGGTGTTGTAGCAGTGTTTGTACCCTCAAGATACAGGTGCTGTAGCTGTGTTTGTACCCTCATGATACGGGTGTTGTAGCTGTGTTTGTACCCTTATGGTGCAGGTGTTGTAGCTGTGTTTGTACCCTCATGATGCGGGTGTTGTAGCAGTGTTTATACCCTCATAATGCGGGTGTTGTAGCTGTGTTTATACCCTCATGATGCGGGTGTTGTAGCAGTGTTTGTACCCTCATGATGCGGGTGTTGTAGCTGTGTTTATACCCTCATGATGCGGGTGTTGTAGCAGTGTTTGTACCCTCATGATGCGGGTGTTGTAGCTGTGTTTATACCCTCATGATGCGGGTGTTGTAGCAGTGTTTTCCCCTTAATGGTGTTGTAGCTGTGTTTGTACCCTCATGATACGGGTGTTGTAGCAGTGTTTGTACCCTCAAGATACAGGTGCTGTAGCTGTGTTTGTACCCTCATGATGCGGGTGTTGTAGCAGTGTTTGTACCCTCATGATACGGGTGTTGTAGCTGTGTTTGTACCCTCATGGTGCAGGTGTTGCAGCTGTGTTTATACCCTCATGATACAGATGTTGTAGCTGTGTTTGTACCCTCATGATGCAGGTGTTGTAGCAGTGTTTGTACCCTCATGATGAAGGTGTTGTAGCTGTGTTTGTACCCTCATGATACAGGTGTTGTAGCTGTGTTTGTACCCTCATGATACAGGTGTTGTAGCTGTGTTTGTACCCTCATGATGCAGGTGTTGTAGCTGTGTTTGTACCCTCATGATGCGGGTGTTGTAGCTGTGTTTGTACCTCATGATGCGGGTGTTGTAGCTGTGTTTGTACCCTCATGATGCGGGTGTTGTAGCTGTGTTTGTACCCTCATGATACAGGTGTTGTAGCTGTGTTTGTACCCTCATGATACGGGTGTTGTAGCTGTGTTTGTACCCTCATGATACGGGTGTTGTAGCTGTGTTTGTACCCTCATGATGCGGGTGTTGTAGGAGCGGGCGGTGGTCTGGTCGTGCATGTCGCTGTAGTCGATGGCTCTTTGCAGCGTCTCGGCTGCTCGGCTGTAATCCCCTCTGGCACTGAACACCCACTGAGGAGACAAACCTCTGGCCTAGAGACACAGAAACAGACTCAGATGTCTTAACTTTCTTGACTCTGAGTTGCGTCTGAGTGTTTTACAGATAAGAGAGACGGCGTACCTGCAGCTCTGCAGAGTGTCTGTTGAGCTGAGCGCTGAACTGCAGCACTGTCTGAGCATAGGAGGTGATGCGTAGCGGTAAGATGTGGTCGTGAGCCAATCGCAGAACCATCTCCCCCACCAGCTCCCCCAAGCGTCGCCCTGTGACCCCCAGACGACCCCCTAGTACTTCCTGGAGGCGGGAGGCGCTGTCAAACGGCGTGTTTATGAATGGGTACGCTCGCTCCTGAACAAACAGACACATCAACCTGTGACAAGATGATCATACTGTGTGTGTGTGTGTGTGTGTGTGTGTGTGTGTGTGTGTGTGTGTGTGTGTGTGGTGTGTGTGTGTGTGTGTGTGTTTATGTTTGTGTGTGTGTGTGTGTTGTCACCTCGGTGAATCGAAGCTCGACAGCAGGTACTCCTGCGAATGCTGTGAAGCTGTACGCTCCACTGTTCAGGTACAGAGGCTTCATGCTGAGGAGGAGAGAAAAACAAGTATCTGTCTGACATCACGCCCATTGTGTGTGTGTGTGTGTGTGTGTGTGTGTGTGTGTGTCTCTGTGTGTGTGTGTGTGTGTGTGTGTGTGTCTCTGTGTGTGTGTGTCTGTGTGTGTGTGTGTGTCTCTGTGTGTGTGTCTCTGTGTGTGTGTGTGTGTGTCTCTGTGTGTGTGTGTGTGTGTGTGTGTGTGTCTCTGTGTGTGTGTGTCTGTGTGTGTGTGTGTGTCTCTGTGTGTGTGTCTCTGTGTGTGTGTGTGTGTGTGTCTCACATCCTCCAGCTTCCTCCCTCTCTCTCTGCCTGGCTGTAGATGGTCTGACCTGCATGTTTAGGATGCTCCACCTGTCAATCAAATATTCATGTGTGTGTTTTCAAACCGTGGTCGTGGTTATTCTGCAGAATAATATCGTGTTGTACAACACAGGAAGTGACATCATTCTGATGAACACCATAAGTGTCAGACACTCATCATGTTCACCTGTCTGATAGCAGCATCAACCAGGTCGAGCAGGAGAGGACTGCTGTAGGCGGACAGGACATCGTCACCTAAAGACAGACAGGTGATTACTCAATCTCTTCACTGATTGGCTGCTGCTTTAAATGGGGTCTCTTGTGATTGGCTGAGAGCTGTGTTACCCATAATGGCCTGGTCCAGACTGAAGTAGGCCACGGCCTTCAGGTGAAGCATGGACAGGTAACCCTAGAAAACGAAGGTCAGAGGTCACTGTGTATCACCAAGGAAACAACAGAGGTCAGAGGTCACACAGCTTCTTCTTCTGTGGTGGTTAATGTGTGTTAACGTGTCAGACCTCCAGCCACTCAGTCGCTCCCACGTTCCCAAAATCACCGGCATCCCAACTGACGAACAGCAAACTCCGTCTGGGACTGAAACCTGCACACACACACACACACACACACACACACACACACAGAGACACACACACACACACACACACACACACACACACACACACACACACACACACACACACACAGAGACACACGCACACACACACACAGACACACACACACACACACAACACAGACAACTCACACACAGACACAGACACACACACACACACACACACACACACACACACACAACACACACAGAGACACACGCACACACACACACAGACACACACACACACACACACACACAGACACTCACACACAGACACAGACACACACACACACACACACACACACACACACACACACACACACACACAGACACACACACAACACACACACAGACACTCACACACAGACACACACACACCACACACACACACACACACACACACACACAGAGACACACAGAGACACACACACAACACAGACACACACACACACACACACACACACACACACACACACACACAGACAC